TACGAAAAACATTTAATTTCAGCTATTTCGGCATTCGAATTAAACAAGCTAACTTTTTGCTTTCTTACTTAAAAAAGTTACCTACATATCTAACAGCACTAATTAATCTGCATATCGGTTTGCGCGCGACATATTCAAACATTACTCAGATAGGCGCCATTACCAGTCACTCGGGAAATTAACGCACACTCAGAGAGCGGCGCAAGCCTTAAATTAATTACAGTGAAAAAAGGTAAATCGTAAAGATTCATTCGAACTTTCAAAGTTGTTGTACAAGTTGTATTGTCGAGCTTCTATATTTTTTATTTTTTGTCACTGCTGTGGATGTGGTAATATGTTTCTCAGTATTTCCATGATAGCATGTCAAACATATTTCATCTTCCAGGAATATATCAGAGGGTTGAGAGATGAATTGATTGAAAGAAAAAAACCGGACCTTTTTAGTTTAACTGGTTGTAAAAATTTACCAACTGTAACTGATCATACTTTGTTTTCGATTTGACTGAGAGACTTAATTCCTTTGATATTATTCTCTGGAGATTCCAGTCATGATAATCGAAGAATTGAGTGGAGATAACCCAGTAAATTCACTTCAGTTTTGACCTGAAAATGCGAAACTGACCTCGACATGGCGCCTTATATAATTTCAATCATGAGTCGAAAATGGAGAGATGCTCCAAGAGATGATTTTCCATCTCTTTCATTTCCCTTCTATGTCTTTACTGTTTCATTGCACAGGCTTAATTAAGAAATCGCACCCAGTAAAAATGCAACCAGTTTACAATGATATCGCACTGTATCAGCTCTTTGGGCGCCGGGATTATCTTCGTTTTGGTCCTCTCTCACTTTATCTTTTAAAATTTCAAATGGTACACGTTCGACTTCGTAAAAGGCCTAGTACTGAATTTTTTTATTCAAATTTCAGATCTTTATAATTCTCTGAGCCGAAGGTAACTGAAGTATTGATGTATTCGCCGAATTTTACTAGCTCTGTCCTTGGCGCAGGATTGTGCGATCGTAATTTAATTGAGTTAGTAGAAGCAAATAACTATCACCACATGTATGTCACACTTTGTGTCCACAACATAACTTTCTTGATTACGATATTTGCTAAAATTTTCGAAAAACTTTTAGTTTCAGTTTTTTCGGCGTTTGAATTAACAAGGTTACCTACATATCTAACAGCACTAAAGGATTTTGATAGCGGTTTGCCTTTTGAGCACGGCACAGTAAAAGTTACCTAAGCATGAAAACCAGTCACTGCACGCTAAGAAAGGGGCAGAAATCGAGTCCTTAAAATTACCTTCTATGGCATTTCTATCAAGAGACGTAAAATAAAAGTTTCATCCAAATCTTCACATATAGTTGTTCAAATTCTCGGTCTATTGCCGAGTTTCTTTACCATATCTTTATTCCCTCACTGGTGTAGATTTGGTAATATGTTTCTCAGTATTTCCATGATAGCGTGTCGAACATGTCTCATCTTCCAGGAGTAGATCAGAGGGTTGATAGATGAATCGAGTAACATCAGATTTTAGTATAAAGTCCAAACTGCAATAGCATCGTACTTGGTCCAGCGCTTCTATGGATAATCCAGTAACACGTGGATGGCAGATAACAAATCAGAAACACAAGATACACGTAGAATGTACCAACTGCAGCTTTTCTCTGCCTCGCAGCATTAGTCATATCCCCCTCATTATTCTGTGCTAGCTGTGTTTGGAGGACGTGAATTTGATTGCTGTGGTGACGTACAGCTAAGTAGATCTTGAAATAAAAAAAGGCTGTAGTTAGGTAACAAACGCTTTCAACAAGTACTGAAATAATCCCGACAGCAGTTGGAATCCATATGGAAAACAACATCGAAATCGCACTTAAGATCCAATTCGAGATAACCACAGCAACAACTCGCTTTTGAGTCACGAGTTCCTGGTATCGGAGATAAAAATGAACAGCCAAGTATCTGTCTGCTGTTAGAGCCGCCACACCAAAGAATGAGGCATAAATAAGAAAATTCCCTGTGACATAAAAAGAGTTCAAAGTGATCTCAAAATATAGAGTTTGAGTGTTTTCTTTTATCGTCATGACAAGACGTGTACAAAGGTTGAACCAGTAAACGAACACCAAGATCAGATACAGCCAGACTCAGCAGGAATATTTTTAGAGCTCTTGGTATCGTCACTGGTTTTCTCAGAGCGATTATCGTTACAATGTTTAGTGTGATGGCGGTAAAACTGAAGAAGGCGTTGAAGACACAGTTGGCGATGAGTAAAGCTTGCATCATTGCTTAAGTAACTTTATAAACTATGAACTTTACAACCAAGGTTTTTACAATGTAAATGGACTATGTTTACATTTTTTTTTTGCTAATAAGCTTTGCTTTCTTCAAGTCTAGCTTCAATTCTCACGTGAGATACTTAAGTTTCACCCTCAGATTCTAAAAACTCGGGCCGTTTAGTAGACAAGGGCCGTTTAGTTAAGAAAGCCGCCGATGGATCATTTAAAATACGGTAAACAGGATAACAGGCATCCCTTAACATTAACGACCAATATTCATTACTTTAATGGTCATTGTCGGTCCTAATAAAAACCGAGTCAAAGAAATTGCTTGCATGAATTGACTTTTATTAAAATGACCCTTTATCACCTGCCCAAGCAGTATTTCATTGAGGAACAACGATGGGTGTTGCGTTAAGCGGCAGCTATACTGATTAAGCATCAAAACCTATTCAGCAGTAATTATAGTTTTCATATATCGTGTCCTAAAGCCTTGATATTTTCCATTCTTTTAAATAAAGTAGGATCCTTTTCTTTGGCTAATAAGAGAAACAGGATAAATTTATAATAAATGGTTTTTTTACTGGAAAAAGGACCAAACTGGTTCAACTTGTTGTAGAAATTTAAGAACACCATGAGTCAAAAATGGACAGATGCCCTAACATATGATTTTCTGTCTCTTTATTTCTATTTATTTCGTTACTGTTTTGTGGGAAAGGCTTTAGAATCATTCTCAGTAAAAACGCAACCAGCTTGTAATGATATCGCACTGTATCAGCTCGCAATCGTCAGGAGGGAGTCATCTGCGACACTTTTAAATACCTTTTTGAGTTTTAGTGTACACGTCTGATTTCGTTAAAGGCGTAATGTAGTTTAAAAATGTTTTGCAAATATTCGGTTCTTTATAATATCTTGAACCAAAGGTAAAGAAAGAAATATCCACCTATAGATTCACTTTGTCCTTGGCGAAGGAATGTGAGCTCGTAATTTTAGTGAGTTAGTAGAAGCAAATTTCTTTGAGTAAAACGTTTAGTTAAAAGCTGTGACGTTCTTTATTTTTTTATGTCTCCTCTAAGAAGGAGACAGGATCGCAACAAATTCTGCAGTCAAGCTCTCAACAACTGGCTTAGCCCCATTAAGGAGGGTAGAAACGGTTAGAGAAGTGTTAAATCAAGGATTCAGTCACTGTAAACAAAGAAAGCCCCGTAGTCTTTTCTTCCATGCTTCTATTAAAAACTTTAACTTATTTCTCTCACCTCACTATCTGCTGTTACTCAGTTTCAAGGATACTTAGGTTCAGTACGTGATCTCTTTTTATGAAAAAGAAATATATCATTTTCATTGCATTTTCCTTTTGCGAAGGGGTGGTGGATTCTTCCCGCCTAAAAAAAGAACTGTTAAAGAAAGAAAATCATCTCGCTGTAAACAGGGAGGATAATTATTTTATTCTATACACCAGTGACCTTTTACATATCGCTATCACGAAGACCGGTTTTTGGGAGTGAAAAATCTATTCACTAAAACATGCCTTCCTAGAATTTTTGGTACTAATAAACGAATTCTCTTTCTCTTTGACTTAAGCATGTTCCAATTTATCACATAGCCATAGACCGAAAAGGACAAAGGCAGGGAAGGCCATTGGAATAACAAGAATCACACACAAACGCTAAGTTGGCATGTTCGGCTCGAGGTCTTACGAAGGAACATCCGTGTTTCAAACGATCAAAAATTCCAGTCAGTTAGAGAAAAAGAAAAAGCGGAAACTGAGTTCATATGAGTCTGGATTTGAAAGAAGAGCTAGCATTTTTTTTCGCGTTATAACTTTTATTGTTGTAGCTATATTTGATTGCAACGCTTTTGCTTTAATAGATAATTGGTCACAATACTGCAACCGAAAGGTGAAGCTAAAAAAGAAAATGCTTCACAGTTTTACTATTCTTTGATTAGTGCAAATTATTTTAGACTATGCCAAATAAAATAGTACAATTCGCTTACGTTGGGTTTTCCATCTGAAATATTGCCTTTGGCGAAGGATTGCTCACGGGTACGTAAACTCTGATTTTAGAGTTTATTAACAACACAGAGAGAAGCTGACAAGTGCCTTGAGGTCAGGACGTTTTCCGCCCCAGTCTTTTTACTGCCACCGTTTTTCGAACAATTCGTTTCTTTTGTGACTTCTTGTATGTAATTGTTGTACCTTTTACCGTTCAGTCTTTCTATCAGGAACCAGCGAGTTTTTATTTATTACTGAAGAAGAACATATACAACAGCTTGACAGTAGATTATTAAAAATACGTTTTTACAAGATGGTTCTTATTACAGGGAAACTTTTTAGTGCTAGCACATCGCTTGCTAGCAAGAATTTCATTTAAGCTGAGAAAATTTGACACAAAACGTTATTATCGCTATATCACATTTGTGTCCATAACTTAACTTTCTTGATTCTGATGATTTCCTAAAATTCATGAAAAACTTTTAGTTACAGGCCTCTTTAATTTGGCGTTTGATTTTTTGGCTGAACAGCGATAAAGAAGTTATGAGCACCGTTACCTGTATAAGTTATCAAACGGTTTGCACACAACAAAGAAGAGCGGTGCAAATCGAGCCTGAAAATAACCTAGATGACAAAATTTACTAAGAAAAGAGGTAAATGAAGTATTCATCCAATTCTATAAAGTTTTTATATACACTGTATTGCCGAGTTTCTTCACTTTTTTCTTTTGTCACTGGTTTGGATATGGTAATATGTTTCTCAGTATTTCCATGATAGCATGTCGAACATGTCTCATCTTCCAGGAGTAGATCAGAGGGTTGAGAGATGAATTGAGGTAAATCAGCGTGTTAGTATAAAGTCCAAACTGAAATAGCATCGTACTTGGTCCAGTGCTTATGTAAATAATCCAAAGATACGTGGATGGCAGATAACAAATCAGAAACACAAGATACACGTAGAATGTACCAACTGCAGCTTTTCTCTGCCTCGCAGCATTAGTCATATCTCCCTCATTATTCTGTGCTAGCTGTGCTTGCAGGACGTGAATTTGATTACTGTGGCGACGTACAGCTAAGTAGATCTTGAAATAAAAAAAGGCTGTAGTTAGGTAGCAAACGCTTTCAACAGATACTAAAATAATCGCAACAGCATTTAGAATCCATATGGACAACAACATCGGAATCGCACTTAAGATCCAATTCGCGATAACCACAGCAACAACTCGCTTTGGAGTCACGAGTTCCTGGTATCTGAGATGGAGATGAAGAGCCAAGAATCTGTCTGCGGCTAGAGCTACAACACTAAGGAACGAGGCAGAAGTAAGGAAAAACGCTGCGGCATAAAAAGAGTTCAAAGTAATCTCAAAATATAGAGTTTGAGTGTTTTCTTTTATGATCATGACAAGACGTGTAATGTACAAAGGTTGAACCAGTAAACCAACACCAAGATCAGATACAGCCATACTCATCAGGAATATTTTTAGAGCTCTTGGTATCGTCAATGGTTTTCTCAGAGCGATTATTGTTACAATGTTTAGTGTGATGGCGGTAAAACTGAAGAAGGCGTTGAAGACACAGTTGGCGATGAGTAGAGCTTGCATCATTACTCGAATAATGTTTTACCCAAACCTTACAACTCTTTGTGTGTTATTTGAACGAAAATAAAAGAGAAACGCTAACGTATTCATTTAATAATGATCACCTCCATAATTACCTTAGTTTATTAATGATTATTTTCGGTCCTAATGAAAGCCGAGTCAAGTAAAAATATAAATTTCTTCCATGAATTAATTTTTTTAAACTGATCCTGTATCACCTGCCTGAACTGCTTCCTAGTGAGGAACAAAAGTTAAAGCTTTTTGGTATTAAAGATGTCCATATACCGTGTCTTTTGTATTTTTTTAATTACTTTTACAATTTTTTTTCCAATAAAGTAGAATCCCTTTAATATTTATAAAATTGATAAACGGGATACTTAGAAGGCGTTCTTCTAGCAAAAATAACCTACGTATATTACTTTAATGGTCACTGTTCGAACGGTGAGGGTAAAAGGCGGAATGAGTTTGCGGAATGGCATGTGGCATGGCTTGCGGAATGGCATAATTATGCGGAATTTAATATACGCAGATCGTTTTCAAAGAAATAAATTAAACTGAAAAGAGCGCCCTTTTTTGGCGCCAATCAATTTGCAAACGCAGCCTCTGTTTTAATGTTGCGGGCTTAACATACGATGACAATCAAAAAACCACGAAGGCTCATTTGTCGACCAGCCTTGTCCGCACAGCAGAAAAGGTTCTTCGTCTATTGAAGAAAAGATGTTTTCGAAGGTCACGCTCCCTTCTACTTTAATTAATTTTTTCAGCAAAAGATGTTTGTACGATTAACTTAAGAGTTTCTTGTTACCTATATTTGTATTCCAAACCGTGTGAGAAGTGTTTCTTTATGAGACTCTGGGTTACGTCATCGTGCCATAATTGATAATATTCAGAGATGAATCGAATCCTGTATTTTGTTTCCTCAGTTGCGAGCTTGAGACGTGCGAAACAGAAAAATCGACCAAAATGTTAATTTCGTGGCAAGAGTTGAAAAATCAAGTTCTTTCATTTTTGTTCATAGATAGCTTTTAGGTTTATAAGAAACCTAACGTAGATTGTTCCCGCCGAAAGCCTTTCATTGGTGAGAAAAAATAGAACATCGGTTTTCGATGTCGGAGTCCGTCTCAGACTGCATTAATTTTTAACCTGAAATTCGCTAACATCAACTTTCCTCGCGTTCGCAAACGAAGCTGGATGGAGAAATTTGGACACTTTCCAAGAACAGAAAAATTCTTTCCTTCCACTAGAAGATTTTTTCTGGACAATAGGGAAGCTGGTCGTACTGAAATAATTTTAAAAATGAGAGACAGAATTTAAGTTCGTTACTCATTTTCGACGGCAATATTTAACATGTGTTATAACTCCAAATTCTCTTCTTGGTATTTAAATCACACATTTAGACATTCATTTAAAACATACCGGGGAATTGGCTTGGGTAAGTGAAGGAAATCTCTGTAAGACACCATCGAAGTTCAGGAATAGGCTGGCGGTAATTGTCTGTATTGTGTAAACACTTCCAATTTCGAAACGCACATAAATAGAAATTTACAGCCTAAAGGCTCGTTTTTCGTACGTCTTGTAGGTTTTTCGTTTGCAAAATTGCTTTTTTCAATCAAACAATGGGGTAAAAAGGTGAAACTGGGTTAGTTTTAGCCATTTTGAGACACTGAACTTTACCTGTCTGCGACTCTGCGTGACAGTCTGTTCCGTGACTACACGTGTCACATTGTACGTTTGAAGAGACGGAAGTAACACAACGTAATTCTTGATCGAAGGAGTAACATTTTCGGTGCCGACAGTATTTTGAAGAAGCAAAAAATCAACCGCACAATTAAGTATTCTGGTACTCCCTTCTATAGAAAAATAAGGATTTTAACTATGGTAATTCGCTAAGGATAACGGAAAAAGAAGATATTTCGTCTTGTTACTTTACAATCGAGGAGACTAAGTTATTTTGGTCACGCCTCACTATATTTACCGGACTTTAATGTTTTCGTTTGGAGGCTACCTTCAGGAACCCTAGCCAATTCTCAGGTATGTTTTAGATAAATGCCTAAATGCGTGAACCAGTGAAGCAGTTGCTCACTCAAATTGGCGCCAAAAAAGGCGCGGCAATGACGCGCGCATGCCTTTCAGTTTAATTCATTTCTTTGCGCCAGTTTCCATATTTTACATTCTGCATAATTATGTCATTCCGCAAGCCATGCCACATGCCATTCCGCAAACTCATTCCGCCTTTTACCCTCACCGCTGTTCGAAGAAATTGCTTCCATGACTCTTATTAAAACCTTTACTCACCTGCCTAAGCTGTAATTCTCAGTGAGGAGCAACGGTGTGTTGTATTATTAAAGGCAATTACTGATCAAACATTAAAACCTTTTCGACAATAATGTTCTTCATTTATCTGTAGTCCTTTGCCTTTGTTTTCTATTTTTGCTTTTTAAATAATTAAAGTAGAATCCGTTTTAGAAAAGGATTTTACTGGAAAAAAACGAGCAATTCGGGATCGGTTCAACTTTGTGGAAATTCACTGATGTTTCACTGACAGTTGACAGAGACTTTTGCTGGATATCGTTTTCTGGAGGGAGAACCTAGTATAATGGAAGATGAGTAAAAATACCACAGTCACTTCTGATCAGTTTTGACCTGAAAACGCGGAACTCACTGCGACAAGGAGCCTTAATTTCAGTCATGAGTGAAAAAAGGATAGATGCCCCAAAATATGATTTTCCGTTCGCTTTCAATTCCCCTTCATGTCGTTGTGTTTCATGGGAATCGTATCTCTCAGTAAAAACGCAACCAGTAATATCGCACTGTATTAGCTCATCGGGTGGGGTTATCTAGGACTGATCTCTTCCTTTCTCACTGTATCTTTTTGAATTTTAAAGTGTAAACGTCTGACTTCGTAAAAGGCCGGTTTAGTTTTGAATTTTTTTATTTAAATTTTCAGATCATTATATAGTTGAAGGTAAAGTACAGACGTATTCAACGAAATCTACTTTGTCCTTTGCGAACCATGTGAGCTCAAAATTCTATTGAGTTAGTAGAAGCAAATTTCTTTAAGTAAAAAGTAAAACGTAAAGAGCAGAAGTCTTTTTAGAAGACTAAGTGTTAACAAGAGACGGTGTTTATTGCAGGGAAACTCTTGCTAGCCCATTGCTTTGTAACAAGAATTTCACTCAAGCTGAAAATCAGGCGCGGATCTAGGATAGATACTGACTAATTTCCTAAATGAGCTCCGAAGGCGCAAGCTTCTAGAGGGGTCCTGGGGCATGCCCCCAGGAAAATTGTTTTCTATTTTAACTCCCTAAAATCCCCTTTCCTAGGTTCATGAGTCATTCAAACAGAATATTGGTCTGTTCCATTCTCCTAGGATGAAGCCTTGCAACTTGGAAAGTTTTTCTTTATTAAAAATATATCTATTACGAAAAATCTGACCGATTTCCGTAAAACGGTGGAAACAGGTGTGGATCCGCGCATGAAAATGGACGTAAAACATTAATTGATATTTATCGCTATATGACATTTGTGTCCATAACTTTCTCATGTTGACTCTGATGAGTTCCTAAAATTCATGAAAATCATTTAGTTACAGCTTTTTCGGCCTTTAATTTAACAAACTGAGTAACCTCGCTCTTTTACACTGATCAGGGAATAGACATCACAATTGATAATCATTTTGATAATCCGTTTGCGACGGCTTATCAAAAAAATTACCTAGGCTCGATTACCTGCCGCTGATTCGAGAAATGAGCGGAAGCTCTGAGAGCGGCGAATATCGAGCCTAAAAATTCGCCAGATGACAAAATATGTAAAGACGTAAATGAAGTATTCATTCAAATCTTCAAATTTCTTAAACACTCTGTGTTGCCGAGTTTCTTTACTTTTCCTTTTTAAAAATTTCTTTTTTGTCACTAAATGTAAAATAAATAAATAACGATTTAGAGATAGCACATCCACTGAGTGGTTCTTCGTCTACCTGATCCCTGGTTGGTTGGTTTTTGAGGAGAGGGGAAAACCAGAGTACCCGGAGAAAAACCTCTCGGAGCAAAAGGGAGCACCAACAAAAAACTCAACCCACATATGGCGTCGACGCTAGGACTCAAACCCGGGCCACATTGGCGGGAGGCGAGTGCTCTCACCACTGCGACACCCTTGCTCCCCACTAGTGTGGCAATTAATGATTCTCAGTATTTCTCAGTTTTTCAGTATTTCCATAATAGCATGTCGGACATGTCTCATCGTCCAGTACGGTAGATAAGAGGAAATCGAGCCTTATAATTAACTAGATGACAACATTTGCTATGAAAAGAGGTAAATGAAGGATTTTATATTCACTGATTTATTACTGAGTTTGTTTCTTTTTTAGTTTTTCCTTGTCACTGGTGTGGAGGTGCATGGTAATATGTTTCTTAGTATTTCCATGATAGCTTGTCCTTTGAGGTACACCAGGATGGTAACATATTGTCCAAAGTTCCTTAACACCGTACTTGGCCCAGTGCTTATGTGGATAATCCAGTATCACGTGCTTGATAAAAAATCAGAAACACAAGATACACGTAGAATGTGCCAATCAACTGGAGCTTTTCCCTCCCTCGCAGCATTAGCCATGTCGCCCCCATTATTCTCTGCTAGCTGTTTTTCTAAGACGTGAATTTTGATTGCTGTGGTTATGTGCAGCTAAGAAAATCTTTAAATAAATAAGTTGCGAAAAAGGTAGTTTTTATCACATAGAAACAGTATTTCCTTGGTATACATTACGAGCCTCACCGTCTTAGCAACCAAAAAAAAAATTTGTTTATCTAGCTGAGATAGGGGACTAAAATCTCAGCTGGATACTCAGAAGCTTGTAACATTCACTATTCCATTTATCTCGAGGGTCGAGGTTTCCATGTCGAGGGCGAGGGTGCCATGTCGAGGGTCGAGGGTAACATTTTTTTTTTCCCAAATTTTTTTTCTGGAAAAGGTAATAATCGATGCTATCAATGTCATTAAAACAAATAAGAAGAATTTAAAAAGCAAATGGCGCGTGAACATCTTCTAGTTGTTGCGTGGGGGGTGGGGGCGGGTGGAATAGAGAAAAGCTCCGGGGGCACCGAACGACTGTTTCCTGTAAAATATCTGTTCGGAGAAGCAAAAATTGCCTACAATTTTCTGTTACTTGAGGAAGGCTAAAAATTTCTAGATGGCCGTTCCATTCATGTACGGCTTTCGTGGCTTATCTAATTAATTCCCTACGATTTTCTAAAGTTTAGTTTTTCACATTTCAGCCCCCAACTTGGCCTATTTTTCGTTGGAAAAGGAAATCTAAAATTTTCGGATTAGAAAATGTGGTGGAGAGGGGAATCAGAAAAATTCTCACTTTCGTAAAACCTAAAATTGCATCTAAAATTTTCGGGAAAATAATTAAATACTGAGGCCCTAAGTGATTTCGAAAAGATTCAAATTGCCCTAGGACGACCGAACAGATACAACTTTTATAGCGCCGCTTAGAATGCATTTCTAGAGATTTGAAAGTACTCTGGATAAGCGAAAAAGTGTTTTCAATGCATTCAGGAGGTAACCGTGGTTGGGTGCCCTTGCTTCGCGGCTTATATTTCAGTCACGTCTGCCTCTTCTCTGCCTTGCTTGGCTCTTCAGTGTAATGTAGTTTGAATATGGATATTTCACCGATTCTTGTTTTTTAAGCTATTCCACTGTATGCGACCGAATTGTCGTGCTTTCAATGAAGTAGAAACTCGCCATGAAATTTCAAAATACAAGTCATCGATAATCACCGACACCGGAAATCGTGACCTAGGTACGTAGGTGCGTAGCTAGAGTGATAATTTAGATGGTTGATGCTATCGCCTGAGACGCGACGCAATAATAAACTCCTTTTTATTACCAACATTATGTTCTACAGCTTAAAAAGTGTATCACTGCAGAAATTTGAAACACCCTGAACACAAAAGGAACGCAAAACCAACACTTATCCTCAAATATCCTCAAAACAGAACCAAAAATCACTCCACAAACCCAATGCCATTTTTTCTTACCCGACCGACCGAAAAATTGTACAGGAATGGCCTTGTGTGACATTGGAACATTTCAAACAGTTAAACAGAATTTGCAACACAGTCTATTTTTTTTCGGGAATAAAAAACTTGTATTCACGGTTCAAGATAAACGGCATTATCGCAGTACTCCGTTTTTCCTATTCATGTCCAACTTGGCAAAACAACAGATCTTTAGTAGAAATGTGTCAAATGTTAAACAATTAATTGGATCAATGGGAGACACGGCACCACGTCCACGTTCACAAATAAATATGACCGATTGTGGCCTAGAAAGATATATTGTGTTTATGACACATTTTACAACGCAATAAGAGTTTTTTCCTTCCATTCTTGTTGGTTAGACCAGAAATCCATAATTCAACGCACTCATTCTTGTTTTACGACATTTTAAATTTTGTTTACAACATTTTTTTTAAAATCGGTGTTTTCAAGTAACGTGGTCTGTTCATGGTATGGGTTTCCGGGTGTTATAAATGTAATTCTTCGAAAACAAATTGGGATGTCTCGGAGCTAGAAGATGTTCACCCGCCATTTGTTTTTTTAAATTCTTCTTATTTGTTTTAATGACATTGATTGCATCGATTATTACCTTTTCCAAAAAATAAAAATTTGGAAAAAAAAATCATTACCCTCGACCCTCGACATGGTACCCTCGCCCTCGACATGGAACCCTCGACCCTCGACCCTCGAGTCGAGGGTAACTAGTCGAGGGTCGAGGGTAAATGGTCGTGGGTCGAAAAATCCTCCACAATTATTTCCACAATTATTTGCATCCTCAACCACCTGTTCCTCAGCCGCCTCTCCATCAACCGTCTTTCCCTCAATCACCAATGCCCTCTGCTGGCTTACAGCCCTCGTGGAATTCTAGCATGTCGCCAAGTATCTACGGATGTTTACCGGTTTCTGGGTAATCGGGTCCGGCCTGGGAGGTAAGCAATCTGCTCTAAAGTTCAGCACTTACATGTACCTGTTCTCTTTCGCCTTCTTTTTGTCTCGATTCAATCCCGAATTTTTTTAAAATAAGACAGAGATATTGACTCAGTGAGGGCATATAAAAAATTGGGCATATTTCAAATGCAGTTACTGATAAAATAGAGGTCAATGTTTAAATTGCAGTTGAATGTATTTTTCTTGTGATAGGACCAACACGAAGAAGAATGTCACGTTCCGATGAAGTGGCAAATTGCCAGTGTCTCTTACAGTCATCAAGTGACCAGACATGCATGCTGCCATTTTTGAATCATTCCTTCGAAGAGGTATTAAATTATTAATAAATTATTGCTAACAAAGGAAGGCTTAATCACCTAATTTTCTTAACAGTTCAAATCAAAGTGACAATAGACAAATATTAACTATAATTTATTTACTCCCTTACTCTCCCTTTGTTATTTATTCCAGTTATGCTGGCAGGCAAATGAAGACTGCAAGGGAGTGATTCTTACCCTACTAAACAAAAGGAAAACGATTGATGAGAAGAGGAGAGATTTGTTGAGGCATGTAAAACCTTCCTTCTGTGACGATGCAAAAGCAGTTGCATGCATATATCCAAGGGAGATATTAATAATTATTATTGTCATAATTATACCAATACTGACTTTTGAAGTTTCTTACTGCAGGGTGCTTCATGAGATGGAAAATAAACACAGTGAAAATTGGTTGTTTTGGATCGGAGAAACAAGCTCCACTGACGGGTTGAAAGGTGAAGGTTTAACATCATGAAAATGATTTGTCCACAGCACAATGCCACTTACTGTATATATAAAACCTCTTTTGAAAGAACAGTGCACACACCTGCGTACAGGTGTAGTAGACTATAATATTAATAGATTTTTGCTAGGGAGTCATTAGGCCATGTGGAACTATAAGGTAACACTTATCGAATCACAAACATCTCTTTGCTTAAATAACAGGCAACTGGATTAATGACTTAATCAGAAATTATTGACAAGACGTTTACTTGTAAATTATTTATCCTTGTTAGTTATGGACATTTATGGTGGTGACCCACGCACAGAAAGGATACTTTTCCTGGTCCCGTCAGTGGGTAGAAGTCCTTCGTTGTTGGGACAGATTTCAGGTAATTTTAGAGGAGCAAGAATCGTCGTGGTCAATGTCAATAACAATAAATTTTTAAACCACTTTCAAACGGGATCAAAGCTGTCACGATCGTGTGTGTGTGTTAGAACGATATGCCTGTAATACAACAGCACGTGCTCAAGGCTTATTAATGAGTAATGTTACAGTTATGGTGAGAAAAGATTGCCATATGTCCTTTAATTCTTGAATTAACTCAAAACCCCAATACATGGAGCCTCAAACTGGAAAGCAAGGATTTTTCAATAGCTTTTACATACAGAGATACAGCTGAAGGATTAGATCTCATGAGTACCACAAACAGCTAACCTGAACAAGGATCAAACTATGATTATATCAACTGGAAGGTTCAAGTTTTATAAGACAATTATTGCAAGCAAAGAAGGAGAAGGTAGAATTAAATGAAAGCAATCATTTTCTTTTCTGTACCCTTACCCTATTTAGATGCAGACATTGATGAAGTGGGCTCCGTTTTGAAAAAAGTTTTAGAAAGGGCAGCTGTTCACCAACAACAGAGGTAACATACCTAATATGATGCAAAAGTTACACATTAAATTGAAGGAGGCTAAAAAAAAAAAAAAAAAAAAACAGGTAAAGTCAATTTTGAGATTTAGCTGTAAGTTATGGAAAAGCAATCCTTAGAGGCATGAAATAGCTGATTTTGAAGGTTCAGTTGTTTATTAATTTTTTTTTAAATTTAAGACTACACCTTTATCAGTTACCCCTGATCTTAGCACTGTCAATAAACCAAGTAATTAAATATCACATAACAATCCTGAAGTTAGAAATCTCCAAACATGACCTTTGACATAATCTGGAACATTCTCTAGATTGCCTAATTCCATTTCCTAACAAAAAAGACCAGGTTATGCCAAACACTGATATTCTCAAGAAATAAAAAATTTGGCAAGCAAGCTGGTCCAGAAGCACCCTTAACAATTGTGTACATCGTTGAAGGAAAGCCCTTAGTCACTCTGCTGTCTTTTAAGCTCATCAATAAACTGAAAGCCAAAAACAGTTACTATATCTGATATTTGGCTGAATGTGACCTTTTCATTGCAGGAAAAAAAACGGGCAATTTCAGCTCTATTCAAGCCCAACAGGTGAGGGAGGTTTAACAGTACATCAGTAGACATGTACTCACTTCCAAATTAATTGTACTGCTCACTGATACATTGTTGATTTCACATCGGGATAACTGTTGATAATTTAACTTTTAAGTCCATACAAAACCGTTTTGATTTTAAAGCAAAATAAAATAGGCTGAATGTTGTTTTGCTTTGTTTATTTTTTCTTAACAAGGTAAGGCAGATGAGACGCCAGAGGATAACTCGCCCGCCCAAAGAAGGCTACAAAGTGATAGTGTGCGACTTGGTTCAGGGCCGCCCATTAATGTCCCGCAAATTTAGTGAAACTGCCTTCTATCAGGTACCAAAGAAGCAATAATATTGTAAAAAGAGTTTTCTGTAGATCAAGTGGGTAGAGCGCCTGCCCTGTGTTTGGGAGATCATAGGTTCGAATCCTAAAAGGGACTCAGATTTTTCTTTGCCACACGTTCTCAACATGCTGATCATTTCATTTTCACAATATTGTTATACTTTTCAATAGGCAACATCTCGAGTAAAAGACAGTATTTTCTTTAGGTTTTGAAATTGATGCAGCGTTTTAATAAATTATTAGTCATTGAGAGCACCCGAAGCATCATATCAGTAACAGGATACTGAAAGGGCCATGCATTTCCCTAATAACTTCACTTGTATTTAGCCAAAGCTAAATAAAGTAGCATTGGCAAAGAAAGACAGATAAGAAAGTAATAAATAAAGGAAATGATATTATAGATAATATTAATTCATGATAAGAAGGTAACATCGGCACAAATATCCTTATTTATCTATTATCCTAAACTATAACATGATTGGGTAAATTGCCAAGAACAATTTCTAAGGGTGCACAACTTAAGAGGATCAATAACTATTAAAACATTGCCTGATGAGTGTGGTCATGTTATTGAAATAGCAGTGAACTACCTCCAAAGCCTAAATGAATATTTCTTTAAGTCACTGCGGTTTTTGTTTTATTTTACAGGAAGTATATGACTGGGCAGGGGGGGCTGATGAGATGCCTCTCTTTTTTACGTTACATAAAGAGTCCAGACCTACATGTATAAGTCACAAGGAGCGACTAAAGGGCCATGAAGTTTTGAGTTTTGTGGAACGTGTAAGTATGGTACATTATCATTTACCTTATCTGGATAAAGTTGCTTGAGTTTTGATAGTAAAAACCTTTGCTGAAAGAAGATTTCTACTTTATCACACAGGATGAAGCAGACATGGTTAGACTACTTGGGTCATTTGAGGTAAGGGGGGAATGCAAACAGATGTTGGCACATGCAAATGTACCATAACAATAATATCTAATAAGCTATCTAGAATCAGATATGTAAAAGAAGCTTACTAAGGGAAACAGCAGAAGGTTACTATATCTAACCCAAGGAAACTGATGTTTGAGATGACACTAAAATGTCAGCACTTTGTAAATTGAAAATGAAAAAGAAACTATTTTAGTTGTAACGTTTATTTCTATTTATTCCTATTTTAAACAGAAACCTACACCTATTAACGCGTGAATTTCTGGACATCTAACCTTAGAGTTCTTAATCGAGCCAGGTCCTCTGTGTCCATGCTCTACGTGAGCGAGGATCTTTGCCACCAGGCTCTTGGGAACATAACATAACATGTAACACAAAATAATAAATTAATCAAAGACTGCATTTACAACAACACTGACTACCCAGTATGACCTTTGACTAGATGACTTTCCAAGCTATTATTACTTGTCATAAAAAAATATTTATGTACAATACATCTTTATAAGGGAAAGGATATCTTACCAAAAAAGGTATAATAATTAGGTAAATGGGTTAAACATTCGTAAATAATGCCGGCAGGGAACGATAATAATGCATAAGCATACTCTTAATATTAAGTTAACTGAATGCCCTCAAGCAAATACCGTACATCGATGTAATAATTCTAAAATGAGTAGTTGATGTAGGAAGTTATCAAATACCAAATCCAAAACACAAGTTAACAATAAATCAACATTAAATAACCACTAAATAATTGTGAACTTGATATAAAAATGCAATTTATGAAAATACACTGAATAAATTATTACAGTAGATAACACTGTGCTACTTAAAAAAAAAAAAGTCACGCAAAGTCATAACCACTGGGAATTGCAAACAAGCGACAAGAGTACAACCAAAGATGAACACAGTCAAGACGAAAATAATGAGAAACAATGGAATACACCTGGAAAGTTGCAAAGGAATGTTCAATGGTTAAGGCATGGTTGATACACGATGACTTCTCTCAGAGCCAAAGAGCATGGTGGGGATACAAACTACCAACTAACAAGAGGTAACAAGAAGGCACCATCAAAGAAAGAAGAACAATGAACCTCCAGATGTAAATATAGAAGACTTAATATTAAGTAATAGAATTTTTCACATGGTCGAGATTGAAACAACATGTAGCTAGGAGAGGAGGCTAAGGGTTATTGGTCCAGGTTGGGGATGAGGTTGATATGTCAGCTGACAGGGTGAATGGGTTAACTGCAGTGAGGTTACAGATAAAGGGTATCCTCAACACTGAATGATAACTTTAGACACTAAAGGAACTAGCTTAATGTATACCTTAAACCTCTTTAATTTGAATGTGTACTTCATAAACAAGGCTAAAAATAAAAGTACATGTATAACAGTCATAATTAAAAGGAAGAAATTAGTATTATATACTAGTAAAAGTTTATTTGATAGAAAAATAAAATGATATAAATTTAGTAGTTATGATACGTAACAGAGAAATAAACAAACCAAAAAAAATCAACAAGAAGCTAGATACTTCTCAATAAATTATATATTATTCTATATAAACTGACTCAGTTATGAACTATCATTGCATACAAAGTCTTATGTCTATTTACCAAACAAACACAATCTAAACACCCTCTTCTCAAAAATAACAAAATAATTTTAGATAATTAAGAGCCTGTAAAGTACTCTTTAATACACCGTAGATTCCAAATTCAATGGGCATTTCCACCCCTATCTGCCTGAGTTGGACAGTTCACAATCAACATGAATTTGTCCAGTTGACACTAACAGTGAAGCTCACTACTCACCAACTAATGCTTAATCAGTCTTCTGGTCCAGTTCAAAGTTGAACAAACAGACTGCCCTCTTTGGGTTGGCAGGGTGGCCATAATCTGGACAGCATTCCTCCCTTCTGTTTTGCTCTTTTTTGCAGGTTCAATTCAGAGGGAACATTCCTTGTGGAACTTTGGAAGAGGACCTCTCCAAGACAGTTCAGGGTAATCAATTCAATGTATTTATCAGGGTACATGGAAATGAAGTATAACTACCAAAACGTGCCTGGCTATTAAGTTCACAATAATACAGATCACTTCTTGCACCATCGACAGACCTGTAAATGAAAATTGTAATTATTACATGAACAAGAGGCAATGACAGAAAATAATTATTTTCCACAAACACTCTTGTCAATACCACAATTTCCCTCTATCCTTTGTTTTAAGTCTACAGATCTCTTTTTGAAACAAGAAAAATTATATTCTATCATTTTTTAATTGTATTGTTTCATGAACTATGATGAAATTTACCACCTTCCCTGTTCTACAACTACAACTACAATCAACATTAAAACATTACAACATTAATGTATATAACATAGACATGATGATTTGATTTGACATGAAATTTTGACATGTAATAAATATTTTTAAAATACTATCTTCTGATATCTTCTCTCTTTCATTATGTTATAGATGCAAGTCCAACCAGCAAACCACCAGCAGCATGCTTGATGTCACCAAAGGTCCAAACAACTACTACAACACACATTACCACCTCCACGACGTCCACAAAAACCATTTCATCAGCCACGAAATCAAGAAATACCACATCATCCACTGCAGCATCAGTTGTTAAATCATCCACCACATTGTCATCTGCCATCACATCAGCCACTACCCCTCCCAGTACGAATATCAAAACCACTGACACCTCGGCCACCCCATCAACAACCCAACATCGTTGACTCTCCCGCTTCATGCAGAAGGTAAGGAAAACGTTTTCACCATGCTATTGTTGTTTAAAAGGCCATTAACTATTATTTAAATGGAGATAAGTTAATAATACATAGACAAATGAAACACAAACTACTTTGAAAGAGCATGAGTTCTAGACAGCTTGAATCAAAAAGGGTTAAATATTACAGGTGTCTTTTTGAAATAATAAAAATTATATTTCTATCATTTTTAATACTATTGTTTCATGAACTTACCACCCTCCCTGTTATACAAGGAATTAACTGCAACATACATGTATATAACATAGACATGATGTAGTGTAGTTAATTTTTTATCTCTAATAAATTTCATTTCTTCTTTGTTACAACGTTATTAGAATATATTACCATACCCCAAAACAAAAGAGAAACTTGTAAATGAATTAGGACTTGAGCATAAAGACCTAGAATCAACCACCGTTAAAAATGTCAACCCGACCATAATTTTTGACTTGAAATAAATATTTTAAAAATACTTTCTTCTGATATCTTCTACCTTTCATTATGTTATAGGTGCAAGTCCAACGAGCAAACCACCAGCAGCATGCCTGACTTCACCAAAGGTCAAAACAACCACTGCAACACACATTACCACCTCCACGACATCAACAAAAACCATCTCATCAACCACAAAATCAACAAATACCACATCATCCACTGCAGCATCAGTTGTTACCTCATCCATCACATTGTCATCCACCATCACAACATCCACTGCCCCTCCCAGCATGAATATCAAAACCGTGGCCACCCCATCAACAACCCCAACATCATTGACTCTCCCCCCTCATGCAGAAGGTAAGGAAAAGTTTTCACCATGCTATTGTTGTGAAAAGGCCATTAACTGTTATTTAAATGAGATAAGTTAATAATACATAGACAAATGAAACACAAATTATTTCGAAAGAGCATGAGTTCTAGAGGGCTTGAATTAAAAAGGGTTAAATTACAGTGGAAGAATTAATTTAACTTTTGAGTTAGTGTAAGGATCAACTTAGAGTTCTGTTAGCTCCATTTTTACCATGTCAGGAATGTGTGTATATCATCTTTTTGTAACAAGTTTACATATTCCGTCTAAGATTTAAAACATGAAAAACATAAAAAAGTTGAGAAAGTAGTACTCAGGTATATATGTGGAACAGTTACCATTAATGGAAAAATACTGTGGACTGTTCTTTTTCAGAAGAAGACAGCCATCGAAAAGGAGAAAAAAGAAAGAAGAGGAAAGATCCAAGAAGCAGGAAAGACAGAAGGGAAAAAAAGAAAAAAGCTGATGCACAGTAATGTGATGGTGTCTGAACAGACCTTTTGCACCAATATGGCAGCCATATTAATCAAATAGATTTAAGAGAGTATCAGGGGGCGCCCAAGCAGCATGAGTATTATTGGATATACTCACTCATTATTTACACCCACTTCTTGGCCCAATTTTTCTTAAAGGGAAAAAAGATAAAGATGGCTGTACCATGTTTTGATGTTTCTCTTTGCCCGAAAATCATGCATAAATACTGAGCGAATGCCCCCTGGGTTTCAATTCAATATGGCCACAATATCGGTAAAAAGGTCTATTCACAATATTACGATTTCAGACCACGATGCAAGAAGACTAATAGAATTGTCACTTTATTACAGCCATTTTGAAATCACAGAATTTAGCCAGTGGCAATATTTATTTGATCTAGAAGCTGGTTTGATGAAAAGCAATAACAAAAAGGCCACCACATTTCATTTTGTACCCAGAACAGAAATGATACAATTAAGAGCATGAATGAGGTCCTTTATACAGATAACGGTTTAGAGGCTATCAGATTGCAGGGATTACCAGTGATTTCAAAATGGACGTAACAAAGTTTGGAAGATTACCATAACTTTTTGGGTGAAAGAAAAAAACAAAACAAAATAGCTTTTTAACATTAATTTTTTAGGCTGCATGTAGAGTATATGTAGTCGAGAGCATTTTAAACCTCTTTCAAAAGAAATATTTCTTAAAAAATTAAACATACAATCAAGTAAGGTTCAAAACATGTCATAGAATGCAAATTAGCATAGAAAATTACCAGGAAACCATCGGCAATTATTTAAATGGCAGTTATGACAAAATATGTAAAGAGAGGGAGACAGATGAAGTTTAATCCCCTACTGACATTGTAGGGACCTTAAGATGCATCTATTCAGTCCATGGAAACAGATAGCCAAACATAGTAATTTCGCAAAATTAAGTTGGCAATAACAGTATCTCTTTTCTAAGAGGTAGCCGGCTTTTTTTCCTGGTAAGACACAATTCATTCTATGCCTGCCAACTTTTTCTGGTCAAATGTGTCAGATTTTTGCCTTTCCACAATCATGACCGTCCCAGTGAACTCCCGAGGTTTTCTGTACATTTTCGGGAGCCTTGTGGACCTTCACGAAAACTTGCGAAGATGTTCTGACGGCCTTTGAGCACTTTCAAAACTGGTGTAAAAGACACCAACTTTAGCGTGTTTTGATTTTGTTGGAACACAAAAGTCATCATTCAAAGCCTGGAATATTAATTGTGGAAATTGAATTAAACTTTTGTCACTCATCACGTATTTAAGAACAATTTGTCTGGATTTGTGAGGCAGGTTTGAGAAACTGTCCTTGAAGTACGAGATTGATGTCTTTAGTCTGCAGGCGTGAGACTCGCGCACAATGCATGAGAGTTGGCAGGCATACCCACCTACTGAATCTGTGCATCTTAAGGTGTCTACCATTCCTCATGAGTACGTGATATGAAGGGTAGAAACTCTTACAGTTTTAGTAACCGGAAATTTTTGCACAAATAGTATTATAAGCTTATCAGTTTCAGTTGAGCTCCAGTTCCGTTTAATTTGTGTGACTGCATGAAGCTGTCGATTCAAATTTTCAAACTGGTTGTATTAAAAGATCACCGAAGTTGGCATGCAATGATAAATGAAATGCGTTCAGCATAAACGTAAGTCTTTAAGTTTAACCATTATTAGTATAATTACATTGATGAATATCGAAAATAGTATAGTAATAGTCGGCGAATAGTCACCTCGACGTCGTCTCAGTGACTATTCGCCGATATTCACGTCGCCTGAGCCGGCTAATTGTTCAATGTTTACTTGACCTTTTATGAAGTTCATTTGGGCCATGTGAAAAATATAAAGCCTAAGACCTGCAGCAAACGTTAATGTTCAGTCATTGCAGAAAAAAAAGGTTTTCCTTGACGACTTGAGTATAACTTACGCTTACGCCGACTAGCAGGGTATAGTTTAATAATTATTATTTGCTTGAACACTTACCTCACGTGTATTAAAGAAAAACCGCTTTGTATTTCAGTAACATTCCGATTTTGTTGAAGGGAAGCCACCATTTATATCAAACCGGGCGTTTCAAACGCTTGACACATGGATTAATGCGTAGATAGAGAGTACGAGTACAGATTTTAGAAATAAAATCACATAGGTTGCCACTTGGTTGTCACAAGTTATGGCGGCGGGGCAGGGACGAGACAATCTGGGGACTAGAACGTTAGTCCCCTTCTTATTTCTCCTCACAGTAAGATCAGATAAAACGTCTGTTGAAATGGGAGAAAAATAAAGGCATATTTTTTCCCTTTTGACAAAAGGAACAAACAATCAATCAAGTATAGACACCATCTTTAGTGGGAAGTAAATCGCTATATACGTTAAGCAGAGTTGAGCCAGGATACAATGACACAAATCCTGCCTCCCCCCACCAAAACCCCTTCAAAAAGTAAATAGATAAAATTCATTGATTAAAGACCACACTAAGTTTTAAAATCCCTTTTCCCTTTTTCTTTTTCATTGATTGTGGTCAATCATAATTTTAGCGAAGCTATTAGTATCACACGCTTTTATCGTATGGCAGAAACTCGCGAAGTTTTAGGGAGAATGGCCTAGATGGCCATGAAAGGGGTTTGCGGAAAACGCGGAATCCAAACACCCACCCCGAATTCTGATTAGAGTTTGGAAACTAAGTGAATCAAGTTTCAAGTAAGCTTGCTGAGCGTTAGTGGAACCTGATACACTCATGTATTCCTCAGCCTAATAACTTAACTTCAGATTCACGCGGCTATTTTTTCCGGGGTGAAACTGAGACATCTTCGGGTTGGCGGAAACATTAAGCAGCCTCTCCGTCATGAGAATTACCAGTGGTTATTTTACGTTACCACCTGTCTTTTTTGGTTTGTTTTGTTTTGTTTTTTTCCCTAGGGACGAGAAGCGACGAGATCATGGCGAGCCGCAAGCCTTAGCGACCGAAATATGGGGGAAAATTTGTCCCCCATCTGACCAGGAAGCCATTGTTTAAATTCAGCCAAGCATAGACCGTTGACAGCTTGAAACCATACTTGAGGTGAAATGCGAATCTCCTTTCGTGACCTCCTACTGAAGCTTTATTCGACATATCTTTCAATGGATCATTTTAGCAGACACTACAGAAATAATAAAGCTGAGCTGATGAGACGAACACAACTAAAGAAAAGAACCTGGTGAAATAAAAACCACTCCGAAACAGCGCACCACTCGGAAAACTTGTGGCGGTGTAGAGGAGTTTTGCACAAATTATCTAACCGGGGATACCTCAGAATCAATATGCATTTATTTACCACAAATGAACGAAGTGCAGCGATTTAAATAAATTTGATTGAATTTAAACTATAAATTTAAATAATTTTCATTGTAGCTTTTTCTGGGGAGCAGAATTTAAAGCGGGACTATTCCCTTTTTTTGAGAAAAGGCCGGTGAAGTTTTCTATTTCATCCTGTTCGCGGCGTAAAAAGGCTCTTATATTTTTCTTATAATACAAACTTGTAAGGTCACCTATATGATGTTCATTAATTATGACTGAAACCATTTATTTCGTTCAAAACGGACTTGCGAGCCACAACCAATAAAAACCAAGTTCCCTTGCACTAAGCGAAGGCGACACACCCGATCGCTTGCTTTTTCAGGCGACTCACCCAAAAGAGCACGTGCAGACGGAACTTTGGTCATTGTTTTGAATCCGAAGAATAAGTTCAATTGCGAATTTTACAGCGTCTAGTTGAAACGCAATTTTAGCAATCCCCAAACAAAATAAAAACATATTTGGCAAGACGTTTCAAAAACTATTTTTCAAGCTTTCTAGGCCGCCTCGTTCTTTACAGAAAGATTCATTAAATATACGCGTTTTACAAAGTCTTCTTGCACTAAGCGAAGGCGACTCACCCGATCGCTCGCTTTTAATCAGGCGACACACCCAACATAAAAGGCACGTACAGAATACCCTGAACCATGTACATTTTATGAATCTGTTTTAGTTTCGGTGAATTAAAGCTCTCTGGCTGTTAATGAAAAATAATAGAGACCGTACAGGTTCTTGCAATGGTGTTTTTTTTTTTTTGAAAAACAAATAGGGGGGAACCGCGATGGACGCAACCAATCAACTAAAATTCATTTCGATTCCCCGGTAAAAATTATAGAAAAGAAAAAGAAAGCTGCTAAGATTCAGAGACTTACAAATAACGAGCAACACTCAACCCCCTCTCTGTAACACGAGCATGTGTTATTTTTAACGCGTTTTAGTCACTCATTTCGTTGTTGATCAAACTCAAAAGCTTTTGTGAGGTTTATGCTTCGAATATCCCTTATTTATGGTTTTGTAGCACAATTTGCCACCAGTGGGAGTCAGTTGGCCTATCCGATATACTACTAGGAAAACGATCGTTTTCATAGGCAGTGAACGCATTCAACAATGCAATACTACGCATAATTACAGACTACAAGATAATTTTCTCATTAATTCAAACAAATTAAAGATCTGAGCGTGTAACGACAACAATAAATCGCACTGGATCATGATGTAGCATTTAAACTTCGGCAACAAGCAAAACAGCGGTAAAAAGATAAAATATGTAGCAATTTGGCCGCTAAGTGTGTACGTGTATTATGAAACACGGATGTCTACAATTTTCAACACATTCCATTGTTTATCCAGAAAATGTAGCACGAAATTAATAATGGAAAAGCTTTCCGACTTCTTTATAAGGGTACTTCTTGCAGTAACACAAAAGTGCCTCCAGTGGAAGTTGTGCTGGGCCTGTTTCTTCCTAAACACTGTACGATCACTCCCGAGCGCGCCACATTAAATTTGGCGGGCATTTAGGAGGTTTTGGCGCGGATATATTCGAGGCAGAAATAAATAAATTAAAGGAAAAAATATGGAACATTGTCCTTACCTTCAAGGTGTCTTACGATTAAGCAAGTCATAAAAAAAAACAGAATTAATGTGTCGCAAGGTAAACCTGCTGATTTAAGGCTGAAATGGCCTCGCTTCTGAAAGTGAACCAATGTGACGAAGGAAGGCTGGCCATCTCAGTTTGGAACTCTGCTAACCTGTTCGATCTGTTAAAATTTTCTTTCAAATACCAACAAGCTTCTAAGGGAAATGAGTTTGAATCAACACAGAAATTCTCGACCGGGATACCCTAAAAAAGAATTCACATATACTCCATACAATGATGGCTTGATTGGGATGATCCGATCCGGAGAATAGTTGAATAGACCGCGCTCGACTATATTTACCCCGGCTAATACTGTTTTAACCATATTACCAGACAGTTGCGAAATTTAGGATTGTTTCATCGCCTCTGTGAAAATCCCTATCGATGACAGCCAGTCTGACCCCTGCTAGCCTGCACGAGATCGGAGGTAAAATTATAGCAGGAAATTGAGCATAACAACCGTCACTCAGCGTAATTAGTAAAGGGACTTTATGCGGCTCCTCATGATAACTTCCACCTTTCTATTTATGAAGAAACATTTCCGTTACTTTTTCCTTTGAAAAATATACCTTTTTCCGTACTTTGAAGATGTTCTCTATCTACCCTCTCCCCCCTCCCCCCCATTTTGACTGTCAAAACGATCGAGTCCGATTTACCGAGAAATCGGACCCGATTGAGTTTCCCTCTGACAGGATCAGACATTCAGAAATCGGGCCCGATTTAAGACAATTCGGGCCCGATTAATTTAAAGCGACTCCGATTACTTTATCGGGCCCGATTTAACAAGAATTCAAGCACGATTAGTTTTGGAATCCGATCTGAAACATATCGGACCCGACTAGAAAACGGACCCGATTTGTTATCGTGTTCGATTAAATGAAATCGGGTCCGACTGAAAAAAATCGGACCCGATTACCCAGAAACCGGTAAACATCCGTATCTACGAGTTGATCATCACGCCTCCAACAGTGAGAAAATGTGGATGTTTACCGGTTTCTGGGTAATCGGGTCCGATTTTTTTCAGTCGGACCCGAATATTAACTCGGACCCGACTTCATTTAATGGGGGTCCGATTTTTTTCAGTCGGACCCGAATATTAACTCGGACCCGATTTCATTTAATCGAACACGATAACAAATCGGGTCCGAATTGTAGTCGGGTCCGATATATTTCGGATCGGATCCCAAAACTAATCGGGCTCGAATTGTTGTGAAATCGGGCCCGACAAAGTAATCGGACTCGATTTAAATTAATCGGGTCCGACTTGTTTTAAATCGGGCCCGATTTCTTATCCGGTCAGAGGGAAACTTAATCGAGTCCGATTTCTCGGTACATCGGACCCGATCGTTGGATAGTCAAATGTGTGTGTGTGTGGGGGGGGGGGTGGAGGGAGAGGGTAGGTAGAGAACATCTTCAAAGTACGGAAAAAGGTATATTTTTCAAAGGAAAAAGAAACGGAAATGTTATTATCTCGTCGCCTCTCGTCCCCAGGGATCGCTCGACTCTCCCCACGGGTTACCCTCCCCAAGCTCCACCGCCATATTGGAAAAGACGTGTACATCTAATTATGAGTTTCAACAACTCTCTTTTTCCCACCCTTTATTGACTTTATTTACCTCGTCCCGCGTTTGAGAGGTTGCTTTAAAAGAAATAATATGCTAAAAGAGGTAGGTAAAAAAATAGATTTATTATAGCCTTAATCATAACTATAACAAAATTGTCAAATCTGATTGGCTATCAACTGCCCTGATTTCAGCCTTAATTGGACAGTTTAATAGGACAGTACGCGTCATGCCTAAGTAATTGGACAGTACGCGCCATCACGCGCGCGCTTAAATGGCTTTTTTTTTCACTGCTAGCAAAACAAAATTTCGAATTTCTTGCGTTTTGGTTTAAAAAATAGCCTATTGTATCACAAGTTTTGTTAAAGTTATGATTAATTGGTAACAGAACTTCGTGTCGTCCAATTCAGTCTGTAATCATACTCGTGATTAAACAAATCGGACTCCCGCTACGCGGTCGTCCGATTTTGTTAATCACTCGTATGATTACAGACCGAATTGGACTCCACACAGTCCTGTTACCATTACTTATTTACTTATAAGCTTAAGTTTACTCAACAATAATTGAACTAATAATCTAAGTTAAGCTTAACTATTGAACTGCAACCACAAGATATGACTATATACACAATTATAATAAAAGATTTGCTAGTAAACTGATTTATTTAGATGAATAGCAGTATCCACCAATTTTGTTATGTCTTTTAAATTTCCTGGTCCAAATATCAGGCAATTACTGTTCCACTTGGTCTCAAGTGTCAACCGACATCATAAAGAAGAAGTAAAAATGCTATCCTAACTACGTAGTTTGGTCTTGCTCTTTTGGACATTGTTCACGTATGTACACCATTAATGCAGTCTCCAGTGTGCCCTCCCCCCCTGAAAAAAAATGCCTGTCAATTTCCAGAGCAGGGTCGAATTTCACGAATCAAGGCCTCTACTGTCGTCCAAAAAGAAGACAAGAACAGGTTTCAGCTTACTCCGTCAATGACATTGAAAAGAATGTCACAGGCATTTCAATTTTGTAAATTTCAAACAAATGGCCCTGGTAATGGGGTGAAAAGTTTACCGTTTATGATTTTAAAATGTGGCGGTGAGCCACTTTCATGGGTGACTGCATTAACTAAGGGTTTTTGTAACAAAATGTATGGCCGTTTTGCTGAAAAAAGTGACCGAAATAACAAGGTGACAGTTTGATCAAGGTGGCTGTAAGGCAGGGTTCCACTGAATCCCTTTTTAGCTTAATGATTACTCGATTGTCTATTTTTCTTTTCCTACTACTTATATAAAGTACAGTGTACAAGAAAGAATTGAATTGAATGAAAATACAAAACCCTTTCAACTTTCATCCCTCTGGTTCTACTGCCAAATATTTAATTACACAATTGCATACTTGTCTTTCAACCAAGGTTTACTTAGTTTTTAACTTAAAGCTGTATGACAAATGTAATGTCTTTTGGGCTAAAAAGTAAAGTTGACATTATTTGGCAAGATCCATAGAGCCACATGTTTGCTAAATATCATACTTTTATACAAGCTTTTACCCAATTAATTTCATGTATTCATGTGTAATAGAAGAGACCTTAAGTTGCACACCTTAAGCTTGTCTTCAGTTTCTCTTGGGGGTTAAAATGGCCCCAAGAAAGACTGAGAACAATGCTTATGCAAAATTTTGGGGTGACAAACAAAGAATGTTTGGTATGTTGTGGTATTTTGAATTCGAGTTAAATTTTAATTCTGTCTGACCAAACCTCAGTTTACTTTAACCCATCTTTAAGCAAATGGCTGCTGGGAAATATAATGAATAATTATAGCCTATCTTATCCTTTACAGAGACAATGGTGTATCTTAAGGTCCCTAGTACAAGATACTTGTACGTACAATTTATAATTATCATTTTCAACAATGAGTGTTTTTCTGGAACATTTCATACATGATGGGGAATGGCCTGGACTTTATCGTTGTTAATTCAACTTTGAAAACTTATAAGGAAACAAGCTCTTTCTTCAATATTTGTCTTAGATGTTTGTTTCAGTGTTTTTCTATTCAATGAAAAGAAGAAAGAAGAGCTTGGTCTGCCAGCTTATCCTCTTTACAACTTTTTCATTGTGATCAATGGAATATCTTATGTTCATTTTTTTTCTTTTTTTAAGGCTGATTAGTGCTAACCCGGGGTTAAATTTTAAACCGAGTTTGAAACTCGGTTTAAAATTTAAATTTAAATTTTATAATTTAAATTTTATAATTTACGCTAGTTTCTTTAGCGTATCCAAGCATCAAATTGTAGACAAAAAGAGTAAGACTGAATTTGTGTTTTAAGCTTTGGTATTTGAGTTTTGGATTATCTTAACCCAACTTTGAACAACCTGGCCCTGGTTGACTATTTACAGTGTACAGTATGAGGTTTTTTTCACATTTTTAGGTCAAGATGGTATATTATAAATTTGATCTCCACCTTTCCATCCCCATCTACGTATCTGTTTATGTCACTCATTCTTCTCCCCCACATTTCTCCTTCCTTCAGGATGACTGTGTCTGAGCGGAAGGTAGTCTCTGTTTCCTCACCAGCTGACATTACGATCCTTTGAAGAGAAACATCAAAGTTATTGGGAAGTAATTATGCACTTCTCATCAACCAGGGCGTCAACCCCCAGGAAACAAATCATGACAAATACTGTAAACATGTTAAAAAAGGAACTCAATTAGAGTCATGAGAGGTGGGACAATTGCACTATAATATCATAAATCCCCCTGTCCATGACTAACAATAACACAGGAAAAAATAACGGCTTCCCATTTTGGGATATTTTAGGGTACTTAAAGAATACCCATAAAAATGCCAAATTTGGCAAAGTGAGACAAGTCCCAACCAGGGAATTCCCAACCAAGTTCCCTGATTGGGACTTGTCTCACTCTTCCAAATTTGGGATTTTTGTGGGTATTCTTGAAATACCCTAGAATTTCCTAGAATTTCCAAAAATGGGAATCTGTTATTTTTCCACTTGATGGCATGTTCCCAGGGATGACATTGCTCCACCCCCCCCACCCACATAGATGGCCACTACTGATAGCTGTTTTCTGTCTAGCTGTTATTGGTTGTCAATATGGTCAACATGTTGTTTTGTTTGATGATCCATTGTTCTATCAAGTCATTAATCCTTAATAATTTTGTATTGACCAAGAATCACTGTGCAGTTTCTTTTCCTTGCTTACACAAATATATCAGTCTAGAAATTAAAATTAGGTTGCTTTCAAACAGCATGTTTGTATTACTGCACACTGGTGAATAACATTAATTCTTTTAATAAATTATTATTTTCCCCAATATTGCTCTTTTTTCAGGATCTGCCCCATGTCTTATTTCCCCACCTAAACAGATACTTTTGACATGTTCTTACCTGATTTCTGTGGTTATTGGATGTGCGGCTTCAACCAGCTGGAGAAACAATTCTTGGTCAATGGTGAATAAAGCCCTCCACTTGTGTCCTCCGTGTATAAAGTGTGGACTTGTGATCGGGTCCTTTCCGCCTATGCCAGCACCTTGAACTTGAAGGTTTCGAGGAAAGTTTGTGATACTCCAACAAAAGGAGTCAATCCTGTTCACCTTAACTGCCACTGGATTACTTGTCTTAAGAAAAGAAACATAATAGTGTTAAGTTTAAAGCTGTGTGTCTATCTATGCAATGAATTTATGATAGAATCTAAGCACAAATTATTGTTATTCAAATTGTAACATTATACTGAATAATTAATAGTTTAAGACTGGCCCTTTTCTTGAACTGCATGGACTATACTGTAATATTAGGGTATTTAAAGAACAACAATAAAAATCACAAATTTAACACAACCAGGGAATTCCCAAACAAGTTCGCTGATTGGATTGGGACTAGTCTCGCTCTTCCAAATTTGGGATTTTTGTGGGTATTCTTTAAATACCCTAAAATATCTAAAAATGGGAATCCGTTATTTTTTCCTGTGTGTTAAGAGCACTAGATATGTTATGTATTGAACTTTTCTTAATTAGTAGGGGGATTCAACATGAAGATACAGGGGATGCTTGCAGTCTCCCTTATTGGTTCAGTTACTGTATATTTTGGTCTGACCAAAGGTGTTCTTGATTGAAAGCCTATGTTTTAAGTCATTCTTATTTTCCACTGGACGCCGCTTTTTTTTCTAACCAAATTCTCTTGGTTAATTGGTACAGTTTTTATTGCCTTTGAATATTGTATTTTTGGTTCCTTACCTTGTTAAATATTGATTGCTTCAGCTTGATGATTTCGTTCGACTGCAGGGCGAAATGCTCTGTGGCAGCCTCCATTAAATGGGCATTCAAATTTTTTCTCTTTACCAACGTTCCACAGCCCATCACTCTGCACTCTGTCACCGTTTCAGAGCAGAGATGTTGGTGAAGATTGACCTGGCATCTGAAATGAAATTCATAGTTTTTTTTTAATTTATGAATTATGAATTTATGAATTAATTATTTTATTTATGAATTGAGGTAAATCAGCGTGTTAGTATAAAGTCCAAACTGAAATAGCATCGTACTTGGTCCAGTGCTTATGTAAATAATCCAAAGATACGTGGATGGCAGATAACAAATCAGAAACACAAGATACACGTAGAATGTACCAACTGCAGCTTTTCTCTCCCTCGTAGTATTGGACATGTCTCCCTCATTATTCTGTGCTAGCTGTGCTTGCAGGACGTGAATTTGATTGCTGTGGTGACGTACAGCTAAGTAGATCTTGAAATAAAAACAGGTTGTAGTTAGGTAGCAAACGCTTTCAACAGATACTAAAATAATCCCAACAGCATTTGGAATCCATATGGACAACAACATCGGAATCGCACTTAAGATCCAATTCGCGATAACCACAGCAACAACTCGCTTTGGAGTCACGAGTTCCTGGTATCTGAGATGGAGATGAAGAGCCAAGAATCTGTCTGCGGCTAGAGCTACAACACTAAGGAACGAGGCAGAAGCAAGGGAATACGCTGTGACATAAAAAGAGTTCAAAGTGATCTCAAAATATAGAGTTTGAGTGTTTTCTTTTATCATCATGCAGGGGCACCCAACGACCGTTTTCGGGGAAATATCTGTTCGGAGCCCTCTAGAATAGCTAAAATTTTCGGGAGCCCAAGAACAGCTAAAAATTTCGAAAATGTTTCGTGGTGACTGTTCGTTGGGCTCAGAGTTTCGGAATTTGTGTGAGGGGGGCGTAAGGGGGGGTCCGAAAACCGCAAAACCGCACAGAAATACGCCAAAAAACCGCAAACCGCATCGAATTTTTTCCCAAATACCGAAACCGCGCCTACATGTAGGCCACAATATGAAAACTGACGTCAGCAAGACTTGCGATATATTCTGATAACATTGTGCATTAGAATTAAACATACCATCATAACGCTAACGATATATTGTACTACACTATTATACTCTATTTACTACTAACCAAATGCCAAGTATGCTGGTCATGTACTTGAACGAGTATTGATATCTCCCTTGACTTTGAAAAACTCTGTCACTGATCCTGTACGTCTTACATTTGGTGACTGATTACTTTGGACGACCCTGTGCTAGTTGTGGAAGGCGGAATAAATGTTTCTTCTGGAATTGTGACCTTCTTGTCTCGTAAAGAGTTCACGTTCAGTGGAGAAGAAGATTGTTAAAACGTACACCTCTTCTGAAATTCTCCCCTTCCTTTCCTTCTTCACAGAAGATTGCCACGCAATTAATTATTACGTCCTTTTCGCTTTCAGTTGCGACCTCGACGACCTCAGTTGCCATTGTCGCGCATTGAATCAAAGCAACGAGAACACGAGGCTGTACGGCTGTACGAGCTAACATCCGGCTAGCAGTGTTCCAGGCGTTCGGATGGTGGGGAGCGGGCAAAAAATTAGGTCGCCGGCGAAAAATTAACGAGGGAAAAAATAGGGCGGGAAAAGGGAGGGAACGTAAGAGGGAACGCCGTTTTCTCGCTCCCGCCCCAGTCTCCGCTCGTTTTTTTCCCCTCATGTTTCTTTTTGTGCTGGCCGCCTACGATTTAACTTGCTCTCCACTATCTAAACGCCTGGAACAGGCTAACATCCGGCATGGAATTTCACGAAGTCGACGCATCATTGGTCAAAACGGTTAATCACATTAAGTATTAACTGGAAAAGGCCGTAATTGCAAACCACAGAGTTAAATTGTAAGCTGATATAATGAACCCTGATGCGTTGTAAAACAAAACACTTGGCTCGCGCTTGCAAAACAACCGGATGCCGACCGTTCTAAAGAGTGTTATCACCGTAGACACTTTTTTTTTCACCGAAAACCGCGACTTAAAGGTTGTAATAACCGCAAACCGCTTAGTGTTTTGAAACCGCAATACCGCGAGTTAAAATAAAAATTACCGCAAAACCGCACCAAAAATAACGCAAAACCGCACCAAAAATAACGCAAAACCGCATCACCGCAAACCCTTACGCCCCCCTCTTGTGTGGTTTGTTCACCTAAGAATTTCGGATTTTGTAGTAATCTCTAGATCACCTAGAAATTTCGTAGCTTTCGTAGTAATCTTTAGATTCTGATTTCGGCGCCTAGAAATTTCGTAGCTTTCGTAAACTAAGAATAGAGCAAAATTTTTAAACCCGGCTGACAGTCTCATTAGCGAAAATTTCGACCGTTTTCTGAGGGTACCAGGCTTACGGGTTACGCGTACGCGAGCGCTATATCAGCGCGCGCATCGCGTGAATAGCGCCTGTCAGTCCTGTGTATCGGTCGATGGACACTCAGGACAGTATCGTAGCAGGGCTACGGATGGAGGGATAACCCAGACAACGCTATTGTAGCACTGTTCTCGGCATCGCATGTATCTGATCTACCTAATTTTAATAAAGCCTCATTTCTGACATTTGCAGTTACAGTCAACTGTGTAGAAAATAGACAACTTTCAGCGTTTCAGTGAAGTTTAGCCCGCGAAAACAGACGTTTTTCCACCGTTTTTTTCTTTGCTCGCTCATCGCCACCTGGGGTGTGTGTGGGGAGGGGGGTGGGGGCGAGGAGCGAGGACAAACTACTGCTGGCAACTTTAAATTTTGGTAATGTGCAGGGTGATGAGTGGGTGATACAGACCGGTTATCTGCTAGCCTGCGTAGCAAGCGTTTCCAATCGAGTTACTGCGCGAAAGTTAGAGCGGGAGCAAAACAAGAAAAAGGTTGAGTTCCTTCATTCCCCTCCCCCTCCCCCGTCATTCCTTCTTTTTTTTTGTTCTCGTCCCAACTTTCTTGACGAACTCGCGAGGAAACGCTTGCTACGCAGGCTAGTTATCTGCGTTACATTCAGGCTTTCTGGGGCTGGATACTCAGCTGGCAGTTGTGCTGTTGGCCTGCGTAGCAGGCGCTTGGAAGTAGCGGGCGAAAGAGAGAACGCAGGCTATTGTGCTGTATATTCTGTATATTGACCCAGACGAAGTCACGGGTCGGGTCACGGTCCTGCTGATTCCCTGAGCTGATTGTCGACTACAAAAAAACCACTCGGATGTCAAAATCCAGCTCACGAGAGTAATCAGCTTGTTAACAGCAGCTGGCAGTTAAGCGGCAGTTACCCTCGCCACCCAGACCTATACCACGAGTAGCCAATCAAAACACAGCCCCAAAGCACAACAATCGGGATCAGAAATATCCTCACTTGTTAATCGAGTCTGTTATTTTTTGCAATGACGTCATCTGCATTTAGGTAAGAGTGGAATTTCCATTCATGGGTGGTCATGAGTCGTTTACACAGCTAGCAAATGTAGAGCTCTCTGACAGCTGAACGTAGGTAAATTTCTGAACGTATAAAATTTCTCTGATTTCGCAAATGATGCGACCCACGTAAAAAATATAAAGGAGTCCGGATGCCGGGTAATTTTTGCCTACGGAATCCGGAATACAGCAGACACTGGAATCCAATAAAGTCCAGCTACCTGGAATCCCCAGACTAGAATCCACAGGAGAATTCTTGGTTTCCCTCACATGGGGCGAAATGATAGGAAACGGTCATGGAGAGGTGGTCACGTGATACTGTCGTGAGAGCCAAGCAATGATTCAAAACAGTATCATAATCGCCTACTAGTTCTGTTACTTGAGATGTATGGTCGAAGAATGCAACACTTTCAGTGTGTCAAGAACAGAGTTTTGAGGTAAGGGAAATAATTCAGCTGGCAAACCTTCTGATCTCTTGTAGTCACTCATCACTGTTTTACAATTTCACTGTTGGATCGACCGATTTAGTGATCGTTTCTATACAAGGTTTCTCTAGGTGGAGTTCGTGAGATATATAAGATGTAGTCCAACGAAAAGTATTTTGGTTCTTTTGTTGTTTTTTGTACTTCAGGGCTACTGAAAGCAGTATAAAACTCAACTGCTTGGGTTTCAATTTCATTTTATTTACTATGAGCTAAAATTATCTGTTATGAGAGGTTTGTAACGGTTCCGGGCGGAAAAGGCAAGGGAAGTTGTTTACCGTTGTATCGCCGCAGTTAAGTAACCAATATTTGTATGAGAGAAAGATTTCCATACTGCCTTGGAGTAAAACATCTCACAGACCCAAAGGCACTTGTGCGATAAGCGGCTTCTGTAGTAGTCAACAAGTACTGAGTCAACGAGATATTATGCGTACATGAGGCTGCGTGGTAATCTTTCTTTAAATGTAAATTGTAACTCAGACCAAAGTTAAACATCCTTTACATCTTCAGCCTCCCACGCAGACGTTCTTAGGGGTTCGTCACGGAACGCGTGAAGAACCCCTAAGAACGTCTGCGTGGGAGGCTATTATATCTTTTATTAATTTCAAATTGAATTAAACAGAATTTGGAGAAAAGCTTATTTACCATACCACCATTTTTTGTGACACAATATTGCATTAAATTCAGCCCTTGTTAAGTATATCTCATTATCCTTTACAACCAAGTCTTCAGTTTGTTTAGAACAAGTACAGTCCTACTTCAAGTTCCCCTGATGAATGGCATTTCATCCTTGAAGTAGTTAAGCAGACAAGATATGACCTTACATGAAAAAAAATATGCTTTTGAACGTAAAACAATTAAATTACTTGTTCTAAATTGAGTTAACTAAATATCAGTTATTGAATTTCTGTACGAAATGTCTTGTTGGCAAGAGTTCACCTTGGTTTTAATGAGCATTTCCGTGAATATCAATCTCATCTTTTGTCTATAGAAAATCTGCAAATTATCTATTAAAAAAACTAACACATACAATCAAATGCCTATGTTGCAGAATTTTTAGAAAAGCATATTTACCATACCACCCTTTTTTTTTGGACACAATACTGCATTAGTTTCATTCCTTTAGGACCAAGTTGTCGGTTTGTTTTGAAAAAGTACAATCCTACTTCAAGTTCCCCTGATGAATAGTATTACATCCTTGAAGTAGTAAACAGACAAGGTATGACCTTACATGAAAAAAAATATGCTTTTGAAGGTAAAACAATTAACTGTCTTGTTCTAAATTGCATTAAATAAATATCAATTATTGAATTTCTGTACAAATGTCTTGCAGGCAAGAGTTATCGAGCATTTCCGTGAATATCAATCTGATCTTTTTTCTATAGAAAATCTGCACATTATCTATTAGAAAAAACTAACACATACAATCAAATGTCTATGTTGCCATTTCTTAAAATTTTGTAGACTTGTCGAAAAATTCATTTCCTCTGTACCTTGTGGAGCCAAACATTGATGCAAAATAGTGGTTGTTAACAAGGTGATGGCATAAATGGGCATTCCATCTACAAAATCCAAGACTAAAATGCAAATTGACAGAATTGAGCATGGCAGGAAAAAAAACCCCAATGAG